TCTAGGAGTTTTATAGTTTCTGGTCTTACATTTAGATAATCAGAAATCTTCCAGCAAACAAAAGCCCAGGACCAGATGGCTTCACAGCTGAATTCTACCAAAAATTTAGAGAAGAGCTAACACCTATCTTACTCAAACTCTTCCAGAAAATTGCAGAAGAAGGTAAACATCCAAACTCATTCTATGAGGCCACCATCACCCTAATTCCAAAACCAGACAAAGATGCCACAAAAAAAGAAAACTACAGGCCAATATCACTGATGGACATAGATGCAAAAATCCTTAACAAAATTCTAGCAAACAGAATCCAACAACATATTAAAAAAATCATACACCATGACCAAGTGGGCTTTATCCCAGGAATACAAGGATTCTTTAATATCTGCAAATCAATCAATGTAATACACCACATTAACAAATTGAAAGATAAAAACCATATGATTATCTTAATAGATGCAGAGAAAGCCTTTGACAAAATTCAACATCCATTTATGATTAAAACTCTCCAGAAAGCAGGAATAGAAGGAATATACCTCACATAATAAAAGCTATATATGACAAACCCACAGCAAGCATTACCCTCAATGGTGAAAAATTGAAAGCATTTCCCCTGAAATCAGGAACAAGACAAGGGTGCCCACTCTCACCACTACTATTCAACATAGTTTTGGAAGTTTTGGCCACAGCAATCAGAGCAGAAAAAGAAGTAAAAGGAATCCAGATAGGAAAAGAAGAAGTGAAACTCTCTCTGTTTGCAGATGACATGATCCTCTACATAGAAAACCCTAAAAACTCTACCAGAAAATTACTAGAGCTAATCAACGAATACAGTAAAGTTGCAGGATATAAAATTAACACACAGAAATCCCTTGCATTCCTATACACTAACAATGAGAAAACAGAAAAAGAAATTAAGGAAACAATACCATTCACCATTGAAACAAAAAGAATAAAATACTTAAGAGTATATCTACCTAAAGAAACAAAAGACCTATACATAGAAAACTATAAAACACTGATGAAAGAAATCAAAGAGGACACAAACAGATGGAGAAACATACCGTGTTCATGGATTGGAAGAATCAATATTGTCAAAATGGCTATACTACCCAAAGCAATCTATAGATTCAATGCAATCCCTATCAAGCTACCAACGGTATTTTTCACAGAACTAGAACAAATAATTTCACAATTTGTATGGAAATACAAAAAACCTCGAATAGCCAAAGTAATCTTGAGAAAGAAGAATGGAACTGGAGGAATCAAACTGCCTGACTTCAGACTCTACTACAAAGCCACAGTCATCAAGACAGTATGGTACTGGCACAAAGACAGAAATATAGATCAATGGAACAGAATAGAAAGCCCAGAGATAAATCCACGAACCTATGGACACCTTATCTTCAACAAAGGAGGCAAGGATATACAATGGAAAAAAGACAAACTTTTTAACAAGTGGTACTGGGAAAACTGGTCAACCACTTGTAAAAGAATGAAACTAGAACCTTTCTAACACCATACACAAAAATAAACTCTGCAATTTTTTGAAAGAGTTTTAGAAGGATAGGCATTAGCTCTTTTCTAAATGTTTGATAGAATTCTCCTGTGAGTCCATCTGGTCCTGGGCTTTTATTTTTTGGGAGATTTTTTGATCACAGCTTCAATTTCAGTGCTTGTAAATGGGTTGTTCATAATTTCTATTTCTTCTGGTTCAGTCTTGGAAGATTGAACTTTTCTAAGAAACTGTCCATTTCTTCCAGGTTATCCATTTTATTGCCATAAAGTTGTTCATAATAGTCTCTTATAATTCTTTTTATTTCTGCATTGATATGATTTCAGTTTTTCTTAAATTTACTGAGGTTTGATTTGTGACCCAAGATATGGTCTATCCTGGAGAATTCCATGTGTACTTGAGAAGAAAGTGTATTCTTCTGCATTTGGGTGGAATGTCCTGAAGACATCAATGAGATCCATCTCATTTAAGGTATCATTTAAGACTTGTGTTTCCTTATTACTTTTCTGTTTTGATGATCTGTCCATTGTGAGAGTGAGTGGGGTGTTAAAGTCTCCTACAATTATTGTGTTACTGTCAATTTCTCCTTTTATGTCTGTTAGTGTTTTTCTTATGTATTGAGGTACTCCTATGTTGGGTGCATAGGTATTTACAATTGTTATGTCTTCCTCTTAGATTGACCCCTTGATCATTATGTAGTGTCCTTCCTTATCTCTTGTGATCTTCTTTATTTTTAAAGTCTATTTTGGCTGACATGAGGATTGCTACTCCAGCTTTCTTTTGCTTCCCATTTGCATGGAATATATTTTTTCATTCTCTCACTTTCAGTCTATATGTGTCTTTAGGTCTGAAGTGGGTTTCTTGCAGACAGCATATATATGGGTCTTGTTTTCGTATCTATTCAACCAGTCTTTCTCTTTTGGTTGGAGCATTTAATCCATTTACATTTAAAGTAATTATTGATATATATGGCCTATTGTCATTTTCTTAATTGTTTAGGGTTGATTTTGTAGATATTTTTTCTGCTCTTGTATTTCTTTACTATATAAGTCCCTTTAACATTTGTTGTAAAGGTGGTTTGGTGGTACTGAATTATCTTAACTTTTGCTTGTCTGAAAAGCTTTTTATTTCTCCATCAATTTTGAATGAGATCCTTGCCAGGTACAGGAATCTTGGTTGTAGATTTTCCCCTTTCAGTACTTTAAATATATCCTGCCATTCCCTTCTGGCCTGTAGAGTTTCTGCTGAAAGATCAGCTGTTAAGCATATGGGGTTTCCCTTGTATGTTACTTGTTGCGTCTCCCTTGCTGCTTTTAATGTTCTTTCTTTGTGTTTAGTGTTTGTTAGTTTGATTAATATGTGTCTTGGCATGTTTCTCCTTGGGTTTATCCTGTATAGGACTCTTTGTGACTCTTGGACTTAATGGACTATTTCCTTTTTCCTGTTGGGGAAATTTTCAACTATAATCGCTTCAACATTTTTCTGATATCCTTCCCTTTCCTCTTCTTCTTCTGGGTCCCCTATAATTTGAATGTTGATGTATTTGATATTGCCCCAGAGGTTTCTGAGACTAACCTTAGTTCTTTTCATTCTTTTTACTTTATTCTGCTCTTCAGAAGTTATTTACACCATTTTATCTTCCAGCTCACTGATTCATTCTTCTGCTTCAGATATTCTATTGATTCCTTCTAGAGTATTTTTAATTTCAGTAGTTGCATTGTTTGTCTCTGTATGTTTATTCTTTAATTCTTCTAGGTCTTTGTTAATTGATTCTTGCATTTTCTCCATTTTTTTTTCAAGATTTTTGATCATCTCTACTATCATTATTCTGAATTCTTTTCAGGTAGTTTGCCTATTTCCTCCTCATTTATTTGGACTTCTGTGTTTCTAGTTGATTCCTTCATTTGTGTAGTATTTCTCTGCCTTTTCATTGTTTTTTTTTTTTTTTTTACTTATTGTGCTTCAGATCTCCTTTTCCAAGGCTTCAAGATTGAATTCTTTCCTCTTTTTGGTTTCTACCCTCCTAAGGTTGTCCACTGGTTTGTGTAAACTTCATATAGGGTGAGATTTGTTTTTTTGTTTGAGCTGAGTTTTTGTTTGTTTGTTTGTTTTTCCTCTGATGAGCAAGGCTGAGTGAGGTGGTAATCCTGTCTGCTGATGATTTGGTTTGTACTTTTGTTTTGTTTGTTGTTTAGATGAGGCGTCCTGCACAGGGTGCTACTGGTGGTAGGGTGATGCCAAGTCTTGTATTCAAGTGGTTTCCTTTGTGTGAGTTCTCACTATCTGATACTCCCTAGGGTTAGTTCTCTGGTGTCTAGGGTCTTGGAGTCAGTGCTCCCACTCCAAAGGCTCAGGGCTTGATCTCTGTTGAAAATTAGTAGTAATTTCTACGTAAATTGTAGGATAAGTGAATGTATTTCAGTTGAATGCTGATAGTCAAACATTAAAAATCATCACTTAGGGCAACTTCAATAGAAATTTTTGGTTTGATCCTTGCATTCACCAAGACGCTGTGAAGCACACAAAATTAAATTACAGGAGGCTGATGGCTTGTCCTAGAAACTTCATTATTATTTCTCTGTCCTCCACCCCACCCCTTCACAGGATAATTAAGAGTGCATGGTCATGAGATGGGTGACAGAAGAAAAACGAACTCAATTTCAAGACTGTGTGAAATAAAAAATAACATTTATTGAACATCTTCTTCATGCAGGTACTGCTCTAGGGGCTTTCAGATGTGTTATCTCATTTAACCTCACAAAACTCTGTTAAGGTATACATATTATGGTATCCATTTTATAAACAGAGAAACTGAATTTCAGGAGATTTAAGGAACTTGCCCAACCTCACATAGGGTAGAGACATATGCAGAACAGGTATGTACCAGTAGGTATATACTGAAGTGAAAAGTGAAAGTGAAAGTAGCTCAGTTGTGTCTGATTCTTTGTGACCCCATGGACTGCATGTATAGTCCATGGAATTCTTCAGGCCAGAATACTGGTGTAGGTAGCCTTTCACTTCTTCAGGGGATCTTCCCAATCTAGGGATTGAACCCAGGTCTCCTGCATTGCAGGTGGATTCTTTACCAGCTAAGCCACAAAGGAAGCCCAAGAATACTGGAGTGGGTAACCTATCCCTTCTCCAGCGGATCGTTCTGACCAAGTAATCAAATTGGGGTCTCCTGCATTGCAGGCAGATTCTTTACCAACTGAGCTATGCGGGTAGCCCTAGGTGTATACTAGCAGGTATAACAGCCATCAAGCCTGGAACTAAATGTCCTCTCAAAGGCCCAATCCAATATAAAAGAGAGTAAGGTCAGCATCTTCTCTGAGTCTCTCCTGTGACTCTTTGTCTCCTTCTCCATGTTTCTTCTTCCTCCAAGATTCGTTACCCATACTATAGGATTGCCCAAGGCCACAGGTAATGCAGAACTGATCTCAGTCTGTGTGAGATGTCAGAGAAGGTGGGAAAGGGTTGGACACATTACCTGCAGAGAAGATGCCATCTGCTCCACAAATCACAATGGCTTTAACTGTATCATCTGTTGTAGCTTTCTGCAGACTCTCTTTTATTCCACGGACAACAGTTGTACTACGGGGGAAAAAAATTACATGAAGCATTAGTCACAATCAAATTTCTACCATTTCAGAGTTTATTTTTTTCTTTCCTAACAATGAAAAATTAAACATATACATGATGTAGAAAAATCCTAGATACTTATTGTTAAATTTTCACTAATTTAAGAAATAATATATGTCTATTGTAAAGTAAGCCCTGAGGTGATTAAACACATAAACTTCAGAAACTAAAAGTGTTTTCCTGCATTTTGCTGTAACTTTGACCACTTAGAATTAACACTATTAATTTAAAAATATTACACACATCTTCTATGTATAGTGAAAGGAGTTTAAAACATCCTAGGGACAACAGTGTACACAACACAATATCATACTGAGATGAGTGCTGTAATAAAGGTATAGAGACAATGATGTGGAAATTCTGAAAGAAAGTGCTTTTGATCTGTCATATTGGCCTAATAAAAGAAAACTGAAATTGTCTAAAAATAACAGTCTAAGTCATGTGGCAGGGGGTGCAAGTTACCCACAAACTAATACTTAGTACTTTAAACTAATACCAATACTTTGACCTTCTTCAAAGTATTAATCAGTTTTTAGCTGGATACATGGCTGTCCAAAATAAAAGACTATATTTCACAGCAGCAAGTTCAGCTCAAGGCATTAAGTTCTGGCCAATGGAATGGAAATGGACTTAGTATCTGCACTCTTAGGGAATAATCCTTAAAGGATTGGGTATGCTTTTCTCTCTTACAACTCCGTACTCCTGGCAGGAGTGCAGATATGATGGCTAGATTGGGAGCAGCCATTATGAATCAAGAGGTGGAAGCTACTAATTAAGGATGGCAGAGCAAAATATAGGTGGAACTGAGGTCCCGATGATTGTGGAGCAGCCATACCAGTCATTCCAGGACACTGCTGTGACAGACATCAACTTTTTCTTGTTTAATCCACTATTATGTTGAGTTTCCTGTAACTAGCAGCCAAGCCTAACTAATTCGAAAGGTAATGGCAAGGTCTGTGAAAGGAAAGGCATTTGGTAAATTTTTGTCAAGTTTCAGTAGATGAGGGAGTCATCCCCAGAGGAGATAGTTAAAACCAAGATTGAAAGAATTTGCCAAAGGAAAAAAAAAAAGCTGAGAGTAGATCCTCTAGATATATCCTTATGTAAGATGCGGAAGAGGCTCAGCTGAGTGATTCAGTACTGAGAAGTCCAACAAGACCAAAGAGAGGAGAATTTGCCAAGAAGCAGAGGATCAGTAAGTGCCAAGGGACGGCAAAGGAGGAGATCTAGGAAGAGTAGTGAAGAATTGCTTAAAGAAAAAATTATGAAACCAGAGTCCAGTGAATTTTGCCTTAGAATTCTAAGTAATACGGGGAAATTTTTATACAGGGTGAAAAAAACTTAAAGCAAAAAACAACTAAAGCCAGATTGTTCAGATCAGCAACTAACATTGCTAATTGATTATATCCCAATGCAAAATGTTTTGGTATTAAAGAATAAATTAATTTAAAAACCTCAGGGAATAAAGGAGACACTTGCTCTTATATATGGCAATTCCCTTTCACCTAGTTACTTTTCACCATTTAACCCAGATGAAATCAAACAAAACCTCTTGCCTTCAATTGATTTAATTAGAAACCAAATCTGTTAAAGGAAAATGGAATTTGAACCATCCAGAATATTGAGAAGTCCAAAAGTCACATACTGATTTCTGGGTAAACAATGGCTGCAAAATTAACCAAAATGAGCTCAATCTGTGCCACTGAGGAGACAAGTCTGGCTTTTCCCATTTCAATCAATGCCTACTCTTTTATTTCTTATCTTCTTGTTAATTTTGCATCATTTGTTGTTGTTTAGTTGATAAGTTGTGTCTGACTCTTCTGCGACCCCATGGACTGTAGCCTGCCAGGTTCCTCTGTCCATGGAATTTTCCAGGCAAGACTACCAGAGTAGGTTGCCATTTCCTTCTCCAGGGGATCTTCCCAACCCAGGGACTGAACCCATGTCTCCTGCATTGGCAGGCAGATTCTGCTACTGAGCCACTCTAGATCTCCTGGAATAGGCAACAGCAACCTGCTCCAATATTCTTGCCTGGAAAATCCCATGGACAGAGGAGCCTGGTAGGCTACAGTGCATGGGGTCACAGAATCGGACAAAACTAAGCGCACACACACAACATTTGCTAAGTGTCAGATCTCCAACACATTTAAACCTCACAATGATTTAACGAGATAGGTATTAAAATTTCTCCTGCAAGGCAGAAAGGGGACAGTTTAAATACAAGACACATTTCAAGTAGTTATGGCAAAATATTCCTAGTTGTAGGTAGCAAACTGTGGAACTGTTTACCCCAAGTCTGAGATGGACACAGTTTTCCATTATGAGAAGAGATAGGCAGAGTCCTAATACTTGGGAGCCATCTGGGAAGCTTCCGCCTGCCAATGCAGGAGACACAAGAAATGTGTCCAGTATTCTTGTCTGGAAAATTCTATGGACAGAGGACCTAGGCGGGCTACAGTCCATGGGGTTGCAAATAGTCAGACATAACTGGGTGACTGAGTATACACACACACAGAGACACAGACACACAATTTTGCAAAAATCAAACAAGAAAAAAAAAAGAAAAATGAAAACGGCTGCTTTACCAGATTCTAGCTGAGTGAAAAAGGACCACACCTTCATAACAATATCAAAGTCACAGGGGTTAAGTAATTATTTTCTTCCCTTAATATTGTCATGTATGGAGAAATGGAGTCTAAAGATAACATTTCATGAGTGATGACCAAAGAACTTTACCTTCTGTCACTTTAGAAGTATTTTTTGTGACCATTTTTTAAAACCAGAAGTTCTCAAATAAAGTCGTGGCTTGTGACCAGCATTTTTGAAAGAAACAGAGTGAAACTAGAATACATCAAATAAAAAGAAAAGTTTGTTTCACTAAACTTTATTTTCAGTTACATATTTGTATGTGTGTTTGTGTGTGCATGTCCTAGGTTGCTACGTAAAACACGGATTACTGTGTGGAATATAATTAAAAAACATACAAAAGCCATTGTTATGGGAGACAAATCTAGTAATTAGGTATGTCCTACATTTATAAAGAGGGTTGGCATTTATCCAAATAGAAAGAAATCTGGCTTAGCTAAAGGAACAAAGAAAGATTTGATCTGTTTGGGCCAAAAAGTATTCAAATAAGAATCTCTCAGTTATCTAGGAAGAAATAATCTCCCACATAAAATTAGAAATAGGAAGGGGGAAAGGAAAGGAAAATGAAAAGTGTAAAGCAAAAAGAAAAAAAAAAATGGGAACCTGTTAAACTGGATGATCATGCTAGGACACATACCTTCACCTAAGTACAAGTTCAAGAGGAAAGAACAAGAAAGTGTTTATTGCCAAGTGGAAAAGATCCTGATGCAGCTGCAATGAATCCTGAGCAGCAGGGCCTGTTGGTAGGGGCTTGTAACAGGCCTTTGCCTAATACAAATAATGATAGCTGGTGGTGCAGTGGTAAAGAATCTGCCTGCCAATGCAGGATATGCAAAAGACGTGGCTGAGTTGGAAAGATCCCCTGGAGAAGGAAATGGCAACCCACTCCAGTATTCTTGCCTGGAAAATCCCATGGACAGAAGAGCCTGGTAGGCTGCAGTGCGTGGGATCGAAAAGTCAGACATAACTAAGTCTGACATAACCACCCTGTGGATGGGTGGTTTTTTCCTAGGTTGATCACTACACTTTTTTCAGAGATATAAAAGAACCAGGTGGTGCTAGTGGTGAAAACTTCCTTGCCAGTGCAAGAGGCGTAAGAGTTCAATCCCTGGGTGGGAAAGATCCTCTGGAGGAGGGCATGGCAACTCACTCCAGTATTCTTGCCTGGAGAATCGCATGGACAGAGAAGCCAAGCCAGCAACAGTCCATAGGGTCACACAGATTCAGACACGACTAAATTGACTAAGCACAAACCTATATAATGTCATTAATTTTCAAAACAGCAGCATTAATCTCACTTTTTAAAGTAATGCTTTTACTCGTTTAACAAGAAAAGTACTCCACGATAAAAGAACATAAAAAGCACAGCAGTTTTTCAGGAAATGCTATTTAATAGGCTAATCCTGACATGAGCTTATTTTTTTTCCATTTATTTTTATTAGTTGGAGGCTAATTACTTTACAATATTGTAGTGGTTTTTGTCATACATTGACATGAATTAGCCATGGATTTACATGTATTCCCCATCCCTATGCCCCGCTCCCACCTCCCTCTCTACCTGATCCCTCTGGGTCTTCCCAGTGCACCACGCCCGAGCACTTGTCTCATGCATCCAACCTGGGCTGGTGGTCAACATGAGCTTATTCTAACATGGATCTTCACTGAAGCACTAAGACCTTGAGGTTTAGAAAAAACCAAGAGATACATCTTTGTGTTTCTGGGCCAGGACATAATTCTCTTTTACTCACTATATTGGCATTAATGGGGAATCTTTATTTTTAACAGTGTGAAACCACCTTATTTTTGGACTCCCAAAGCTTTTAGTCACACATTGTAAGGATGGCCTGGACTCCAGGTCGGGAAGGAAGGGATCAAGGTCCAGGCAGCACAGCACTAAGACCTCTGGACTAGAAAGTCCATCTCAGAAGTCAACGTTGCAAGTAAGCAGAAGAGTTCAGCGCGAAGTTGGCACGGACAGAGGCACTAAGACCTCTGGACTAGAAAGTCCATCTGAGAAGTCAAAGTTGCAAGTAAGCCAAAGAATTCAGCAGGATGTTGGCACGGACAGACCGGTTCGGGCGCAGCTCCCCAACTTCTAGCCGTCTGTCTGCCTCTCAGCCTCGGTTTCTTTAACAGCGAAACGGAGATGAGAGTTCTCTGGAAGCAGGTACCGAGCATACCAGTGTAAAAAGTTCTGGCATATGCCCTGATTCTATCTGTGCCAGGGTCTTTCTCTGTTTAAACCAGCAGGGGCGAGTCAAAGCAGGCAGGCAGCTACGACCCTGCTCGCCGTCCCCGGACTGATTGCCGAGAACCCGTTACCTGATCGCATTGACTGGCGGGTTTCGTAGACGGATCACGGCCAGGCAGTTCTGCAGCCGCATGAACTCAGCCATGTTTGCCCAGTTGCTCCGAAGTCGACTCACCCCTCAGCTGCAAGGCAATACCACTTTCTCTGGGCGCGTCCCAGGAGGGAGGGGCGTCTGTTGGGCCTATGTGAACCCGGTACCGCCTCCCGCCCCGGCACCGCCTCCCGCCCCGGGCTGCTCCCGGGCTCTGATGCGCATCCTCCATCTCAGTCCTCCTCCCTCCCCGACCTCAGCCCCGTGCTCAGCACACCCTTGCCGTCTCTTCCTCTTTGCAGGCGCCTGTCCTGCTCCCATAACAAAGTAGGCCAGGGAGGACGATGGGAGATGCGTGAAACTGCCAGCAAGTGCAGATTTGCAAACCCCTGGCCCAGAGGGGCTGGCTTCCCTGGACAAGTTCTAGATTGACTAGTTGGTGGAGCTTCATCACGGTCTTCATCTTCATTATCCTTCTTAACAAAGAGATATGTGGGATCCTGACAGTTATGTGATATGACACGCACTTGAAACACATAAAACACTTCATGCATTTCATCTAAGTGAGTAAGGTACTAATATCAACCAAACATGGACAGGACTGTCATGCAGCAACCTTGTGGAACCTACCACTTTCTTGTCTGCCCAATCCTTCCATTTTTTCCCCCCTTCTTCTGCCATTCCTAAGGATTATTTCTAATATTAAAACTTCAATTGTGAATCGAGCACCTATTATGTCCTAGGCAGCAGACCAAAGACTAAAGATAAAAGAGGCTGGGTTCAGACTGGGACAAAGTTTTTGAAGATGCAGTTGGCCTCAGGTGGTCTCCACAGCCCATCAACTGGCCAGAAGGCAGTCTGGAAGTTTCAGAGAAAAAACAAAACAATGGAGTGGTTTTATTCACTGATGTTTCACAAATTTTAGCAACAATTAAGGATTATTTTCACAGATATTCTTTTCAGTTCAGTTCAGTTGCTCAGTCGTGTCCAACTCCTTGCGACCCCATGGACTGCAGCATGCCAGGCCTCCCTGTCCATCACCAACTCCCGGAGCTTGCTCAAATTCATGTCCATTGATTCAGTGATGCCATCCAACCATCTCAACCTCTGTTGTCCCCTTCTCTTCCTGCCTTCCATCTTTCCCAGCATCAGGGTCTTTTCCAAGGAGTCAGTTCTTCACATCAGGTGACCAAAGTATTGGAGTTTCAGCTTCAGCATCAGTCCTTTCAATGAATATTCAGGACTGATTTCCTTTACGATCGACTGGTGTGATCTCCTTGCAGTCCAAGGGACTCTCAAGAGTCTTCTCCAATACCACAGTTCAAAAACATCAATTCTTCGGCACTCAGCTTTCTTTATAGTCCAACTCTCACATCCATGCATGACTACTGGAAAAACCATAGCTTTGACCAGATGGACTTTTGTCAGCAAAGTAATGTCTCTGCTTTTTAATATGTTGTCTAGGTTGGTCATAGCTTTTCTTTCAAGGAGCAAGTGTCTTTTAATTTCATGGCTGCAGTCACCATCTGCAGTGATTTTGGAGCCCAAAAAAATAAAGGCTGTCACCGTTTCCATTGTTTCCCAATTATTTGCCATGAAGTGATGGGACCAGATGTCATGATCTTTGAATCTTTTTTGAATGTTTAGTTTTAAGCCAGTTTTTCACTCTCACTTTCATCAAGAGGCTCTTCAGTTCCTCTTCACTTTCTGCCATAAGGGTGGTGGCATCTGCGTATCTGAGGTTATTGATATTTCTCCTGGCAATCTTGATTCCAACTTGTGCTTCATCCAGCCTAGCGTTTTGCATGATGTACTCTGCATATAAGTTAAATAAGCAGGGTGACAATATACAGCCTTGACATACTCATTTCCCAATTGGGAACCAGTCTCTTGTTCCATGTCCGGTTCTAACTGTTGCTTCTTGAACTGCATATAGATTTCTCAGGAGGCAGGTCAGGTGGTCTGGTATTCCCATCTCTTGAAGAATTTTCCACAGTTTGTTATGATCCACACAGTCAAAGGCTTTGGCGTAGTCAATAAAGCAGAAGTAGATGTGATGTTCTTTTACCTATTTACCCACCAGGGCTTCCCTGATGGCTCTGACAGTAAAGAATCCCCCTGCAATGCGGGAGACCTGGGTTTGATCCCTGGGTTGGGAAGATCCCCTGGAGGAGGGCATGGCAACCCACTCCAGTATTCTTGCCTGGAACATCCCCATGGACAGAGGAGCCTGGTGGGCTACAGTCCATGGGGTCACAGAATTGGACACAACTGAGTGATCAAGCACAGCACATTAGTCCTGAAAACAAGTAGCAGTCAGAACCATCTAATCCATCAAGGACAGCCCCTCACTTTTGATAGCCAGCCAATCATGAATAGCCCTGGGCACAAGTCTCTGAGTGCTAACATTCGATATCAACCAGCTTCTTATAAGTGGTATCAATCTCTACTGCCTCTAAAATTCACCAGTCTCTCAGCTCTACTTTACCCAAAATCTCGATGTAAGATCAACAGTCTGCTCTGCTTGGAGAGACCTTGTATAACCCACACAGCATTCCCTGACTGTAGGAAGCAAGAGATTCAGTATTGTTTTCCAGGGGGACAATTTTGCCGTCCATCGTAACAACTTTGAACATCTCCACAAAGGCCATGTAGGCAAGGCTTAACAGTTCTGAAACTGCTCCTGGAGCAAGTGGAAATAAGCACAGTGTGGAGCCATTTTGAGGCATTTTTCTCTTCTGTGTCTTGGAGTCAGTCACAGGTTATTTCTCATGTATCTTCCTGTGTGCATGCTAAGTCACTTCAGTGGTGTCTGACTCTTTGCATAACCCTATCAACCCACCAGGCTCCTCTGTCCAAGGGATTCTCCAGGCAAGAATACTGGAGTGGGTTGCTGTGACCTTCTCCAGGGGATCTTTCCAACCCACGGGTTGAATTTTCATCTCTTATGCCTTCTGCATTGGCAGGTGGGTTCTTTACCACTAGCACCACTTGGGAAGCCCTATCTATTGCCCTAGTTTTAGTTAAACACAGAACTTTCTGCCTTGCACTTTCTTTCCCTTAGATACAGCTGCAAACATCTGTGTAAATCCATAAAATTGCCTGGCAGTAGTTCAGAGTTGGCTCCTCAGCAGTGCAGTGCTAGGGTGAGCAAAAAAGGGGCCCCAGTGGGCAAAATTGAAGAAGGCACTCACTCTCTGGTCCATGTAATTGCTGCCCCTGTCCTGCTCCTGAACAACAGAGCGATCCCCACACTTCCTGTAATCTGTCATCCAACCCCTCCTGTTTAGTGTCACACTGTGAGACTAGGGCCCCAGGGAGCTGACACCAGGCTGATCTTCCTTTTGCTCTCTATGTAGATGATAAACTGTCTAAATCTATCTGTATTCCTTATGGGCCCAATCTATGGCAGTGTGGCAAGCCAATTTAGCAATGTGCCACCATGATACTGTTTACAGACCACTTGACCCCCTTGACAATCAACCTCTTGATCATTGGATGAACTGTTACATTCTTAAGTTGTCTTATTTGTCTCAACAAATGCCACTTAACAAGATGCCATTCCTCTTGACTAATGCATTTCCAGATCATCTGCATGTTACTAATTTTGCTTGTTAAATATGTCGTTTTTATTGTTGTCATGGTGTTCCAATTCACAAATAGATCAGTTGATCAGAAATATATTCAATAGTCATTGTTAAAAAATCTACAAATAACAAATACTGGAGAGAATGTGGAGAAAGGGAACCCTCCTACACTTTTGGAGGGAATGTAAGCTGGTGCAGCCACCATGGAGAACAGTATGAAGGTTCCTAAAAAAACTAAAAAGAGAGTTGCCATATGATCCATCAACCCCACTCCTGGGCGTATACTTTGAGAAAACTATGATTTAAAAAGTAGATACACTCCTATGTTCATAACAGCACTATTTATAATAGTCAAGACATGGAAGCAACCTAAATGTCCACTGACAGATGAATGGATAAAGATGTGGTACACAGATACAATGGGCTATTACTCAGCCATTAAAAAATGAAGTAATACCATTTGCAGCTACATGGATGGAACTAGAGATTATTATACTAAATGAAGTTAGTCAGCAAGATAAAGACAAATGCCATATGATATCACTTTCATGTGGAATCTAACATATGACATAAATGAATCTGTCAGACTCAGAGAACAGACTTGTGGTTGTGGGGGTGGGGAGGTTGAATTGGGAGTTTGGGACTAACTATATATAATTATTATATATAGAATGGATAAACAAGAAATTCCTACTATATAGCACAGGGAACTATATTTAATACCCTGTAATAAACCATAATAGAAAGTATTTTTTAAAAGAAGTATATTGAATATCTTGTAATAACCTATAAGCAAGGGCTTCCCTCATGACTCAGTGGTAAAGAATTTGCCTGCAATGCAGGAGACTGAAATCTTGCATGCTAGACTTCATCATTATGTGAACCCAGAACTTCCAGATATCCAAGCTGGGTTTAGAAAAGGAAGAGGAACTAGAGATAAAATTGCCAACATTTGCTGGATTATAGAGAAAGCAAGGGAATTTCAGGAAAACATCTATCTCTGTTCCATCGACTACACTAAAGCCTTTGACTGTGTGGATCATGACAAACTGTGAAAAGCTCTTAGATGGGAATACCAGACCTTCTTACCTGTCTCTGTATGCAGGTCAAGAAGAAACAGTTAGAACAATGTAGGGAACAACCAACTGGTTCAAGATAGAGAAAGGAGTCTGACAGGGCTATCTGCTGTCACCCTGTTTGTTTAACCTATATGCTGAGCCCATCATGAGAAATACTAGGCTGGATGAGTTACAGCCAGAATCAAGACAGGCAGGAGAAGCATCAACAACCTCAGAGAAGTGGATGATACCAGTCTAATGGCAGAAAGTGAAGAGGAACTAAAGAGCTTCTTGATGATGGTGAAAGAGGAGAGTGAAAGAGCCAGCCTAAAACTAAATATTAAAAAACTAAGATCATGGCATCCAGCTCCATTATTGCATGGCATATAGAAAGGGAAAAGGTGGAAGAGGTGACAGATTTCTTCTTTTTGGGCTCCAAAATCACTGTGGACAGTGACTGCAGCCATGAAATCAGATGATTGCTTCTTGGCAGGAAAGCAATGACAAACCAAGACAGTGTGTTGAAAAGCAGAGACTTTACTCTGCTGACAAAGGTCTGTATAGTCAAGGTTAAAGTCTTCCCAGTGGTCATGTATGGGTGTGAGAGCTGGACCATAAAGAAGGCAGAATGCCAGAATTGATGCCTTGAAACTGTGGTGCTGGAGAAGACTCCTGAAAGTCCCTTGGACAGCAAGGACATCCAACCAATCAATCTTAAGGAAGATGAACCCTGAATATTCACTAGAAGGACTGATACTGAAGCTGTAGCTCTAGTATTTTGGTCATCTGATGTGAACAGACAACTCATTGGAAAAGTCCCTGATGCTGGGAAAGATTAGGGCAGAAGGAGAAGAGGGCATGAGAGGATGAGATGGTTGGATGGCATCACCAATGCAATGAACATGAACTTGGGCAAACCCAGGAGATTATGAGGGACAGGCATGCTGCAGTCCATGGGGTGGCAGAGTCAGCCATGACTGGGTGACTGAACAACAACAACAATAACCTGTAATGGAAAAGAATCTGGGGAAAATATGTATGTATATAAATATGATGAATCACTTGCTGTATACCTAAAACAAACACAATACTGTAAATCAACTGTATGTAGCCTGCCAGTCTCCTCTGTCCAGGGGATTTTCCAGGCAAGAATACTGGCATGGGTATTACTGGTAAGGAAATACTGCCATTTTCTTCTCCAGGGCATCTTCCTGACCCAGGGACCAAACCCGAGTCTCCTGCATTACAGGCAAATTCTTTCCTGTCTGAGTCACCAGGGAAGCCCTAAAAGAAAAATATAAGAATATAAATATAAATATAAGAATAAATAAAATATAAAACTTTTGTGTACTAGAACATCCAAATATATACCCATGGTGAAAACAGAGCTAGTTATCTAAACTTGGCTTTCCCTGCATTGGTTATCTTTTAGCTCTGGAATCCGGGTGTGGTGTTGTGAAACTTCATTTAATAGTGACTGACGCCATCATAGCAGACTGCTTTGGTGAACCAATCAGGTTTTCTGAAGCAAATTGCAAAATATTAGGGCTTCCCTGGTGTCTCAGATGGTAAAGAATCTGCCTGCGACGTGGGAGACCTAGGTTCAATTCCTGGGTTGGGAACATTCCCTGGAGAAGGGAATGGCAACCCACTCCCGTATTCTTGCCTGGAGAATTCCATGGACAGAGGTTACAGTCCATGGGATTGCAAAGAGTCAGACGTGACTGAGCAACTAACACTTTCAATGTGAACCAATCAGGTTTTCTGAAACTAACTGAAAAATGTTGCTTTCCAGCTGGAGTGATACAATCTCTCACAATGTCACTTCCCCTCTCACTGTGGGATACAAGTAGACACAAAGCTCTAGGGGAGGATAAATCCACAGAAACCTGACTTCTCAAATGATTTTGTGGAGGAGAGTTGCCCCACTGACTGGAACCAACATGGACTGTTACTGGCGAAAGAAAGAAATTTAGGTCTGTTTGTTAAAGAATTTTAACCTATACTAAGTAACATAGTGAAGAAATTGGCCATGAATACTCACTTCACAGGGAAGTTGGCTGACATCTGAGGAGAACAGCTGCTCATAAAACTGTCTGAAATAAGAAATGGGATAAAAATAGTTTCTTCACTACACCAGTACTATCAGTAATGATAATTTTTGAACCTTGGAGATACACCAACCCTACTCCATATACATATTCAATGTTTTAATGATGAAGGTAAACCATCAGCATTTCTAAACAAGATCCAGCTATGGCAAAAATGACTCAGTCAGATGTTAATCATTTTTACCAGTTGAAATGTCAGAGATCAAGGATGTATTACTGAGCATAAAGATCACATCAATGTGCTGAAACAAAATCTGAGTTGAATGCAACCAAAAATCTAAACTGAGAATTCATTCAGGGCTATCTCCCATGTTTCCACCTCTCAGTTTTCCAGTGGGCTCTGCTTATCACTTTAGGTTTGCAAATAGTTTTTCATTAAATGTCATCTGTCAACTTCTGAACTGAAAATCACGCATGAAATGTCCTTTCTCAATGGTAAAGAACCTTCTTATATGACATTCCTGGTATTCTCTGGCATCCAGTTTCAGTTCATATTGAAAGTACAGTTAAGCTATGCTGCTGCTGCTGCTGCTAAGTCGCTTCAGTCGTGTCCGACTCTGTGAGACCCCATAGACGGCAGCCCACCAGGCTCCCCCGTACCTGGGATTCTCCAGGCAAGTATACTGGAGTGGGTTGCCATTTCCTTCTCCAATGCATGCATGCATGCCAAGTCACTTCAGTCGTGTCCGACTCTATGCGACCCTATGGACCGCAGCCAACCAGGCTCCTCTGTCCATGGGATTTTCCAGGCAAGAGTACTGGAGTGGGGTGCCATTGCCTTCTCCAACAGTTAGGCTATAGTTCACCTTTATATTTTCTCAGATCTTTCTCCTGATTTCCCACCATATCATTTTATTGAAGAGACTATTTCATCTGCTAATAATAATCCTTTCCAGATTTTTCTGACAAATTGGCACCATTTAGAAAGAGGCACAAAAACCTGTGGAAACTTCTGAAAGAGATGGAATACCAGACCACCTGACCTGCCTCTTGAGAAACCTGTATGCAGGTCAGGAAGCAAGAGTTAGAAGTGGACATGGAACAACAGACTGGTTCCAAATAGGAAAAGGAGTATGTCAAGGATGTATATTGTCACCCTGCTTATTTAACTCATATGTAGAGTACATCATGAGAAACGCTGGGCTGGAAGAAGCACAAGATGGAATCAAGATTGCAAGGAGAAATATGAATAACCTAAGATATGAAGATGACACCACCCTTATGGCAGAAAGTGAAGAGGAACTAAAAGGCCTCTTGATGAAAGTGAAAGAGGAGAGTGAAAAAGTTGGCTTAAAGTTCAACATTCAGAAAACTAAGACCATGGCATTTGGTCCCATCACTTCACGGGAAATAGATGGGTAGACAGTGGAAGCAGTGTCAGACTTTACTTTTTTGGCCTCCAAAATCACTGCAGATGGTGATTGTAGCCATGAAATGAAAAGACGCCTACTTCTTGGAAGGAAAGTTATGACCAACCTAGATAGCATATTAAAAAGCAGAGACATTACTTTTCCAACAAAGGTCTGTCTAGTCAAGGCTATGGTTTTTCCAGTGGTCATGTATGGATGTGAGAGTTGGACTGTGAAGAAAGCTGAGCGCCAAAAAATTGATGCTTCTGAACTGTGGTGTTGGAGAAGACTCTTCAGAGTCCCTTGGACTGCAAGGAGATCCAACCAGTCCATCCTAAACCTGTAAGAGATCAGTCCTGGGTGTTCATTGGAAGGACTGATGTTGAAGCTGAAACTCCAGTACTTTGGCCACCTCATGGGAAGAGTTGACTCATTGGAAAAGACCCTGATGCTGGAAGGGATTGGGGGCAGGAGGAGAAGGGGACGATAGAGGAGGAGATGGCTGGATGACATCACCAACTCGATGGACATGGGTTTGAGTAAACTCCGGGAGTTTGTGATGGACAGGGAGGCCTGGCGTGCTGCGATTCATGGGGTCTCAAAGAGTCAGACACGACTGAACGACTGAACTGACTGAGAAAGAGGCTACACATATATAAATTAGAGAGATGCTCTAGCTTATCTAGTCTAATATTCTTTCAAACATAGCCCTAACAACATTCCTAGCGCAAGATTACCCGCCCCTCTTTGAATGTTCCCAATGATGTTCTCCCATACTCTGCATGGTAGACATTTTTGCTTGCTAAAATTCTGCCCCGTTCCTCAGGACTTCCCATTCCCTGATTCTGCTTTTGTTCTCAGGTGTAATAACTCCCTGATTCTACTTTTGATATACATTAAGTCTCCCTTTAATAGAAGAGTCTTTCATCAAATATTTAAATATGCTAACAAGTCTGTCTAAGCCTTCACTTTTTATGCTCTTCCTCAGGTACCGGTTTCTCACATGAGAAGCTCTCTCTAGTTCCTCACTACGTGAGTTGTTCTGGACACTCTTCATGTTTGTCAATGGCATCGATTCTCTGTATTCTGCACCTAGCATTAATCAGGTAATATTCATGTTCCCTTAACTCAGGTTTGTTCTTTTTTTATTATCCATAAAGACTTTTTTTCTTTTAAATTTCAAGTGATGTGCTTTTGTCTTGAAGGATAATTACTTCTTATTGGGTAGAATTCACACACAATTCATGCTTTGAAAATGTACAATTCAATCATTTTTAGTATATTCACAAAATTGTACATCACGACTCTCAAATCCACAACATTCCAACACCTCAAAAAGAAACCCTGTATCTATTAAGCAGTCACTTACCATTCCCCTTTCTCCTTATCTCTGGCAAACACATATCTACTTTAATAGACAGTAATCTGTCACTATGGGTTTATATATTCTGGACATTTCATATAAATGGACTCACAGAATGTATGGCCTTTTGTATACTGTTTTCTTCACTTAGCATAATGTTTTTAAGATTCATCCATGTTGTAGCATATATCAGTACTTCATTCCTTTTTATGACTGAATATCTACATTTTGTTTATCTGTTCATCAGCTGGGGATATTTGAGTTATTTCTACTTTTTTGGCTATTATGAATAATGGTGCACATTTTATGTGCATGTAGTGTTTTTATTTATTTTTTTGGTTGTCCTATATGGTCTGTGGGGGTCTTAGTTTCTTGATCAGAGATTGAACTCATGCTCCCTGCATTGGAAGTGCAGTCTTAACCACTGGACCACCAGGGAAATTCCTATACATGTTTTTATGTAAACTATGTTTTTAATTCTCTGGGGTATCTACCTAGAAGAAGAACTGCTTGATCATATGGTAATTCTATTACTTCCCAGGTAGCACTTAGTGGTAAAGAATCCACCTGCCAGTGCAGGAGACACAAGAGATGCAGGTTCAATCCCTGGGTCAGGAAGATCCTTTGGAGGAGGGAGTGGCAGCCCACTCCAGTACTCTTGCCTGGGAAATCCCATGGACAGAGGAGCCTGGCGGTCTACAGTCCATGGAGCTGCAGAGAGTTGGACACAACTGAGCAACTAAGCACACATACATGGTAATTCTATGTTTTAACTCTTTGAGAAACTGCCAAACTATTTGGGACCATTTAGCATATAACAATCACAGCAATGTCTGAGGTTTCCAATTTCTTCAAATCTTTGGTGATACTTGTCCACTTCTTAAGTTATTAGGCTGTGCTGTGTTTAGTCGCTCAATCGTGTCCGACTCTTCGTGACCCCATGGACTGTAGCCCACCAAGCTCCTCTGTTTATGGGGATTCTACA